GGAAGAACATTTATGATCATTTCCTTGAAGTAATAATAACCATATTAATAATTTTGCACTGCAGATGTGGTAGTTCTGCTTTAACGTCTCGGTCTGATTGTATTTCCATAAAGAAATGATCATAAATGTTCTGCCTAGAGCTGCAATAAACTCAGTGCTCCTTACTGCAGTGAAGACACTGACTGGAGACATCATACTAGCTATGTTGCCATATGGTTTGTTTCTTGACTCTTGACCAATTTGACATTCTTCATGACTTGTTATCCAGATTCATTATGGAAATAGACTCAAGTGAACATTTCAAGTCCTCCAACCTGCTCTGAAGGACCCTGATTGTTTGAGGGACGATTATTGTTCTCTCTTTCGTCTCTGTACAGTCACTTTCATGGTTTCTTTGTGTAATAGAGCCATTAGTAACGGCTTGATGTTATAGAGGGAATCACAGCTACTTTGTTGAGGGCGAGGTCTTTAAAGCTCTTTTAATGAAGCAGGTGGCCATTATTAGAAAATCAGGATTTTAATGGCTTTGATTCTTAAACCAATCTCTCTCTTTTTCTGGTTGTAGTTCATCTTCTTTAACCTTTTCTGACGGAAACGCAGCTGTAGCATCCCCTCCTCCTCCCCCCTCACCGCTTCCCCACACACTCTGAGCTGTAGCGGCACAAATAGACAATGGCATCTTGACACTCCCTTTTCATTTTGCATCTAATGATTCCACTTGCGATAAGAATGTCGAATCGGAGCCACCTACTCAGGCTCATTAGGAGGAGCGTTTTTCGCATCATTAGGGTGAATGTTTGAACCGTGAGATGAGGCGAGTCAGGCCATCAGTGAGTCCAATCGGTTCAGAGTGTCTTTCATGTCCTTTGAGAGAAGCGGCAAACTCACTAAATGGATTTCTCTCTTAACCCTCCTTTAGGTTTATGCTCGTTAGATAGGGATACATGAATAAAAGCTGATAGCTCTTAAATGTTTGTTTCTGCCAGGGATGAAAACTGTGTTAATCTCATTAACAAGAATTATAAAGACCGACTACCCTCGTCTTACTTTACAGACACTGGACAAGAATTGATCTATTGACTGTTGTATGTCTGAAATACTGTGTGTCAGTACCACGATACCACTTGTTCGCCAGTGACAAGCTGAATTAGTTGATGGGTGCATTAATGTGACAAGCATCTAAATGTTCAATCCAGGATTCTGCTTTCGCTTTGATAAATGTTTGTTTATTCCTTTCAGTAATAACAGAAGTTAAAGGGATATTCCGATGTAAAATTAATTTAGGGTCAAACGCACCGTAACACAGAGTTAGAAACCCCCTCGAGAGATAAATGTTGCTGACCGCTTGCTTCTCCAGTTATACCATCTTTTGTAACGGCTGCACCATCGCAATACACAGCAGTCTACTTCATCATTCTCTTGATGTAATAATCATCATATTAATCATTTTATACTGCAGACGCAGTAGTTCTTCTGCCTTAGCGTCTTGGTCTGATTGCATTTCCATGAAGGAATGATCATAAATGTTCTTCCTTGACTCGTCCGAGGTCTTCCTACAAACAAGCGGCTGCTGGAAGAGAGTGGGTGAGTTGTGTTTAGTCTCTTTGCTAAAGAAATCAGGTAAAGCTAAAAAGCTGTTTGGTGGCTAGTACTATGGCTAGGACCCTATATGTACTGTTGATGAAGTTAGGTGCTGTTCTGAGCATTATTTGTGACTATAGAGTGGCGTTTTGGTTGAGGTTTGTGTGTGGCTCCTCAGACCGCTGTGTATTGCTATCATGCGGTTGTTAGTAAAGTTGGTATAACTAGAGAAGCAAGCGGTCGGCAAGGGTGGAGGTTTCTAACTCGGTGTTACAGTGTTAGTTAGTTTCTTTGTTTATTTGAACAGGTCAAAAGAAAAACAAAATAAATACAATACAGTGTGCTTTGGCAGAAAAACAATTAAAGAGACAGCTCTGTAGCAACATAGATAATCATACTTTGTTCAAAAGGGTGTAGGATGAAGTTAATAAACCTTATCTAGGTTGTGTTACTATAATTTAATCAGTCAGAGCATGTGTGGAAACAACAGCACAGAAGAAAGAAATAGATCAGTAAAAAAAAGGCACATTGCACATTGTTATAAATTCATGTTTCCATTTCTCTCTTATAAAAATAGGTTTGAACTTACTTAGTGATCTGCAGGTTTTCATTTCTTTGCTGCAGCTGTTCCACAGATTAACTCCTTTGACTGACATACAGTGAATTTTTGTGTTGGTACTGATGTGTGACGGTATAACCCCCCAGGAATGAGGGTCCCAACCATTAAAAAATTGTAACTGTCTGCAATCCATTTTTACTGTGGAAGAGTGGGTTTTTTTGGTGATCTTGATCACTTGACTCACTAAGAATCGTCTCGTCAAGCTCCCACACGATACTTAAGAGTCTCATTTTGCCTTTCATGGATCAGCATTCACAGCTGAGACGTTTGCAACGAACGAATACTTCCCACCTCAGGGCAGATACTTTTTGCTTCCACACTGCTGTGCTCCTGTAGTGAAGTAACATGGAAATGTCAAAGTTAAGGACAACTTTCAATAACTGTCTATCAAATCAGCTTCCCAATTAAAGTCAATGAACAGTCAAACCAATATGACAATTAAGAGTTTAATGGATGTGGATCCGGGGATGATTACAGGTTATAAAAATGAATTGATTTTGCAGGTAACACCCTAGGAGAAACAGAGACAAATGTTTCTCATAGCATTTCATAGACAAATTTCACCAATATACACCTCGGATGTTTCACAAGGGTAACAGCAACAAGGTTAAAAAAAACAGGAGGAAAAGTTTATTTTAATTAGGACTGCATTGGCTGCAGTACATGTAGGATTTTGGATGACAAATTACTAAGTAGATAATGCTTAATGGCTTGGATCTCTTTTGTGGACTCTGTCCAGCCAGTGTGGCTCTCACAGAAGGAAAAAGTAAGGATCACTCCCCTACAACCAGGTCCAAATTAATCTGCCAGGAGGCCTGAGGGGAAAAAGAAATGTGTTGTTTGACCCCTTCTTATCCTCTTTTTACATGGCACCTCATTATTTCTCGACAAAGCAACTGAGAATTGTTATTCCCTCTGTGTTGTAACAATGCTGCACCCTGTGAGCAAATTATCAACCAAGTAACTGTCTGATAACACAGCCGTTGACACAAGACTCCGCTTCAGAGCAGTAAATTTCTCTGCAGAGTCCATGTTTATTTACTGCACAAGACATTTCCAAGCAAATATCATGTAATTGTAAGGGTCATGAATTTTTACATCTCAAGGGCATGAGCTCTCTGTACCAATGTTAAGCCATTTTCTAGATAATTTGCTGGGAGCAGTGCTGGGAAAGAGGTTGTACATTTTCTATAATTTTAGGATCAAAGTGGATCAAGGCGCTGAATGATTTGTCTTCAAAAATGTATAAAATTCATAAAATCAGTAGAATTCAAGTTTAAAAACAAATTATTTCCTGTTTTTTTTTCGTGATATAGAAAATGAAATTGAAGTGCAACTATACATTTCATTCTTTTAACAGACTGCAGTCTTCAACCCGAGAGAAGAGAAAAAAGATTAACCTCTCAGAAATGAGCAATACCTCCATTCCTCAGGCCACTGACTTCCACCAGCTGACCATGTAATTAGGTTTTTCGCAGGTGTGGCTATAAGAAAGCACACATTGCTGTGTTCAAGTGTGACGTTTTGTCTTCTAATGGAGAGGAAGACGGGTCATAAATGGCTGACTGGCAGGCAGGCTTTTGTTGAGTGACTCCTTTGCCTTGGTACCCACAGGGCCACTCATGCAATCTATGAAAGCTGCTTCTATCAGCGCTGACAGCCACACACAGGCCAGAGTGAAGCCCTGTGTGTGTCTGATAAGTGGGTGGCTAAATGTAAGCTGTGGGGTAAGCCCCTTCATTATGTCTATATGCAGCCTACTGTAAAAGATGAGGCCTATCTACGTTTGATTCCAATCCCTCACAGAGGTTAGCTCCGTGGATTAAAGCAATCTGCAGTCCAGCAGTCACGAATGGAGCCATGCTGGATGTGAACTGGCAGGGCTTTCTGTTGTCATGACAACTTCAATAGAGTCCATGACAGGGCTGAATCATAAATAATGATGTGCAGTAGTTTTAAGTTTAGCTGTAGCAGCACTTGACAGCATTTTCCTGAAGCACCTGCACCTCTGTATGTAAATCCAGTGTAGATTTACATGTACTCACTGTGTCAGTATGTGGGTCACCTTTGCATAATCCAAATGTGGTGAGGCTCAACTGACAAATAACTGTGTTTTATTTCAGCCACAGCATACAGATTTGCTCATTAAATCATATTTTCTCTTGTATAGACAATCGTTTGTTTGTTTTTTTTTTACACAAAATAGAGAAAATAGCATTTTGTGCCTGGGAATGTTTTAGCATGAATGTAAGTATTCCTGAATCTGACTTAACTTAAAAAAAACATTAAAGTGTCCAATTAAAAGTGAATTTTTTTGTCAAATTCAAGAGCCAAAATAAACCTGTAATACTAGTTTAAATCGATCAGAAATTGGGGAAAACCACCTTCACTTTGATTTTAAACAATAATTTGATGTTCATACAGCCATTTTTGTAATACCTCCAGGCTGCAAAGTCTCAAGTTTGCAGGCAAATGCTCTGGCATTTGTTTCCCTGCTTGCACGCTGACTCATACTTTTTAATTGTAAAGCAAACTCAGCCCCTTTATTTCTACAGTGGTTGAGGGATGTTCTATCATTTCTACCTTTAGAGAAACTGAGATACAAAATATATAAAGCCCACAGAGACTTAACCCTTACCTGGAGTCCCTTTTATAGAAGGTTTTCCCTTCCAGTGATACATCTTAAGTTGTATTGGATAGTTACAACCATTTTAAAAAGCTCAAAACATCAATTTTCTGAACTTACGAGGAGAGGTCACTGTCTGACTATTTTTGTATTTTTCTGTTTAATTTATTTTTTGTTCAAGAGCCTTGGGGGAGGGGGTTTATGTTTGGAAGTTGTATGTCTGTTAATAGAAAACGGCAAAATAAAGTCCTAAAAAAAAAAGACGTAAAAATGTACATTTTTAAAAGCAGGAATATCATATTGTTTGGTGGGTAAGAATATATATGTAAATTGAAATGTTCTTTGTGTCTCAAGTTACTGACAGGGCACTTGTTTCTATATTCGACGTAAGATTCTTGTCACAGTTATGTCATAAGCTGTACTTTTAGGGATAGATGCTTTTTGGGGCACAGGAAAAATGCACCCCAAATGCATCAAACACCACCATACCACATTAATAAACCAGTATGAATATCTGACTAAAACAACGTCATTTCTCCCCAAAGATAGAGATTGAGGGGGTTGTTTTGCAGGTGATAGTCATGGTATCTAGACGTCTTACTGTCATGTAGGAGAAGAATACAAATGCCTAAAAAATGATGAATGAACTTTTAAAAAACACATATACTAAAATATTATTAGATACTGTCAAATATGGTTTGCCCACTGACTGTTTGGAATGGTTTAGGACATACATAATATCTTGGTTTTAATGTTTAACAGTCCTCACATCAAAGGCTTGGGGACTAAAAGGGAATTTCTAATATGTCTAGTAAGACGCTTTGATCCGTCATTAAAGATGTTTTAACTCTGAATATCTCACCGACTTCAAAAAGGACTCCTGTCCTGGCAAAAAAGTATTGCATGCTTGTAACATATACATGATAATGTTCTTTAATTCCTTCTTTTCCTTTGAGTTATAATCAGCTTAATACCAGAAGTGAAAAGCATGCCTTTGGTCTGATATCTATGGAGTAAATCAGTCTTAAATCCTTATTTACAGTCAGTATCCAAATTGAAATACATCAGACTGACAGACAGAACAGTGAGAACAAGTACAGTGTGAGCTTTCTTTTCTCTCTTGTAGTTTTATGAAGCTCACCGAAATAAACTCAGATGAAATCGGCTTGAATTCATTATAATAATTAACAACCATGTTGAGACCAAAACTGGGCAGATTCACAAGAAATGGTCTGAAATGATGGCTTGAGGGGAGGGGAGGGGAAGCTGCCAAGGCACTTCATTACTAAAACAATAAAGTAAGATGGGGGTTGTATGCATACTGCAGTTTCGTTCAATGAGCATTTGCAGGAAGATCTATTGCAAAAAATTAAAATAATGATAATAATAAAAATGCCTTCTCACTCAGACTGCCACCATGTCAATTGATTGAATGGTGAGATGTTTTCACACTGTTTAGGTGCAGTCAGATGGAGCTCAAGCTACCTTTAGACTAATATTATATACACTTCCATGATGGTTTATGCTTCAAGGACCAGGTGTGCGCATAAAAACACACTGAACTGCAACAATCTCCATTAGCCTGTGTCCTTCACTTTGAATCATTGGGACTCATTAAAGTCACTGATAGCGGTTATTTCTCCCTCATTCCTGCTGTTATAGACCTGCCTGGTTTCCAGCTGCTTTCACTATTTGCATCAGTCTCACCATTTTGTTACAGAGCTTATGTTAATTGTGGAACTGTGTAACTCATTCTGCTTGAATTAATCTAATTCCAATTACAATTACCCAACTTTATTATTACAAATGCTATCACTGCTTTGCTATTACTATACACCTGTTGACGTTCATTGCCTTGAATTAAACCAAGACCGGTGTATTATAAACATCATGCTGTTCTTCTAAACAGGATGCATACTTCTGCCATTATTCTTAGAACTTTAACTATACATCTGGGTGTACTAAAGTTGTTGTTTTGCTCAAAGTTCCCTTAATGCTGCCAAGTGTTCCACTCATGGTGGATTGAGGTAGGATAAGAGTGGCCTTATTCTACTAGCTGAGAATTAACGGCATTTTATCTGTTGTTGGATTTCTGCAATTGTCATTTCAAGTTTGATCTGGGGTAGCTTTTTTTGTAAATCATCTTAATCTAACATTTGTTGTAACAGTGAAATAAAGATTAATTAAAAATGATCTCCAAAATGTAGATTTCTTGTAACAGTGGCAAAGTGTTGACAGGTGTAGTGTGGCATGGGTTTGGAGGGAAAATGTATTAAAAGTTTAAATTTGGTGGTACTTGTTTTGACATACAGTGACTCTAAATCCCACCTTGGTTCAATGTTCACATTTGTTGCCTTGACAGGAAGTCCAGATGAAAAACCCTGGTGAGGGCAAGTAAACCTTGGAAGTGCAGTCAAGATTCATTGGTCATGTCAAAGTCTGTGATGAACAGTATGACAAAATAGGGCATACTTACACAGGCTGTATTTGACCTTGGCCTACATCCATAAACTTTAACAATGCTTACTATTTTTATCTTCTTTATAGATGTTATTAAAAAAGCCTCTCTTACAGCCAAGGTCTGACAAGAAGGATAAATGCAACTATGCCCCACATCTGCATCGTCTGTACTGCAAAACTCTGCTGAAAGCCAAAATAGTCAAAGTGTAAGAAGGCAGATGCATAAACTAATGATGGGTGGGTGAAGCCCAATTATGCTTTTGGACTGTCCTTTAATTTTTGCCTGTAAAGATGCAATTTTTTTAAAAAGCTTTAAACTATTAAAACGATTAAAACTCTGTATTATTATTCATAACTATTAAAAAATTAAATATTCTTAATTGAATTTTATGAAATACACTTTTTAATCAAATTCTAGTTTGTTAAAATGGGCCTGTAAAGACAGAAAACAACCTTTTCCACCAGAATTTCATTTGTTCAAGTTTATTCTCATTTCCCATGCATCACCTTAAACATATTTAATTCATTCACTTTATGTCTTTCTACAATCCTGTGTTTTGCTGATTGCATGCTCTTTCTTCTCTCTGGTACAACCCTTTATAATCTGTGCACAGCGAAAAGAGCATAATGTCACTCATTCTGCACGTTATTGATCTCTTGTTTACAAGTTCTGAGCCTCAGTACTTCACAGGCACTTACCCACAGCCAACCAATGTTTCTGGGAGGCATTTAGACTCAAGGACCCATTTCCATTAGCCTTTTTCTGAACCGAAAAGCCTGCTTGCAAACAACCATGTCTTTGTGTGCTGTCATGATTATTTGACTCGGTTTAATCTATGTAACAAAAAAGACCACAAAACAACTTTTTTAAGATTGAAAAAAAAAATAATAACTTTTCGCTTTAACTTGTACAGCCAGTGGTGCAACTTCTTCAGTTTTGCTTCACGCTTAAGTAATTTTAATTTACTTGCTTTTTTAAGGTTCTTAAAGGCAAACATCTAGTGCATGAACTGTATTCAATGACTTCATTTTTCATAAACTGAAAGACGTGCTTTGACTGTTTTTACTCATAAACTCGAAATGACTAACAACTCATAATACGATGACTGCCAAAATAATCTACGCCACATGCTAACCTTGTCACAAGTTACGATGGTCGAAAGGTTGGTTTACAACTTTCTGACTGAAAATGATGTCATCTGTGAGCATCAACAATTCCAATGTAGTGTTTACATGATTGAGACGCTAACGTACCCTCCATAGCGAGATAGCACAGCAGCGTGACTCACATCACAGCCACCAATGACATAGCAGCCCAACGCAATAAAAGAGATAGTGATCCACTGTCTGTTGTTTGGATTAGGAGTTGTTCTCATCTTCTTTTTAATGAAAGCTAATATCCAAAAGGACTCAAACCGGTTTTTAACATCAACAATCTAAAGTCACAAGAGATGAGTAACAAGCATGCCACAAAACAGTGGAAGTAGAGTGTATATATGGCTGTTAAATTGGAAAACTAAAGAAATAACCCACCCACTTTTTCTTCCAGTTAAAGTGTAATTGAATTGATGAAAGTGTCATTTATCCTGATTGGTCCATTTTCCCAATTCTACTTTAATTTGATTCAGAGCGGTCATGGAAACCCGCTATGCATGTCAGATCTTGCAATTATGAAGCCATATATTTGTGCCATGACTGACCTCCAAACATGACCGACTAAACAGTGGTCCTTGACCACTCATCACCATAGAAATGCTGACCATGAAAAGAAGCTCTTATGCTAATGGCAGTGACCAAGCTGCTGTTCTTTCTCACCAATATTTCTCTTTTTTCAGTTTGTTATTGGTTGCTGCTTGAATGATACAAGCAAAGATATTGGTGCCCAGGCTTGATTCATTTTCTACTGACTCGAAGTTCCATCTCTCAGCACCAATTTTATCATTTTTCATTTGCTTCCCCATTAAGTTTGTTTATGCTTTGGGCTTTTGTGCCCATTTGAGCCCTCTGTGTCACGTCATTGGTGTGATGGAACATAAAAGACAAAGCAGAAAAAAATCTGACATGCCAGACTTTCTATTTGACAGAATGAGAGAACCCTACATCTGCCAGATCAGGCTTTAATTGTGCTCATGTATAGTCTTACCACCTTTGAAAGGCAGGGTTATAACACACTACCCAAAGCTCATCTCTGTTATGATGGACTTTGAACTTTTCTTATAAATTTTGCTAATTCAGTGGAAATGCTGAGAACCCTTTGGGGTCAGCAAGCAAGAATGACAATTTTATTTCGAGAAAATGGACTGAGCAAGAGAGGGCAGGGAAGTTATTTTAATGAGCTGTTCTTGGACAACCTGGTTTTCAAGAAAATATTACTTCATTAGGTTTGGTATGAGGGTCCTCGCCTTTGCTTCAGCTGAACCCCAGAGGCCAAATTAAGTTGGCACACAACAATCTGAGGTAATATCTGCCGTATAATAGCTTTGATTTAAAATAAATATTAGGTTTTAGGTGGTAGTAGCAGCTTTTAATGCCCTGCTTCTCCATAAAATACTTTTACTTGAAGGTTTGAGGTCATATGCTGCATTCATGCACCCCTTGGATGGTCCCAGTTTCTGAGTTGCAAAGTTATTCCTCCAATTTCGGTTTGTAAATGTGCTTTTAATTCTTCAAGTTAGACTTCATGTTAGCTGACAGACTTTTTGATCAATGTTTAACACCAATGAATTCCAAATATTACTCAAACTAATATAACTGACTTGTTATCAAGTGTGAAGTACCACGCTGATGTTACTAAGGAACTTTCTGATGAATCAAAGTCACCCAATGTGGACAACAAAAGATCATCCTCCAACTCATCGTGGTCTCTTGTCCATCGTATCCTCTCTGTATGACCCACTTGGGTTTGTGGCTCCCTTTTACCGTGAGTGGAAAGTGCATCTTACATGAGTTTTTGAAAAGAAAAAGAAGAGTTTCAGAGTTTTTGTTGCAACTTGAAGATTTGTGAGCATTTTCCAACTTGTACACTCACTTTTCTACTGTGTCTGAAACCAAATTAATGCATGGTTAATATATTACAAAGGCTTGAGAATGACTTTTACACTAGCTAATTAGATGCCAGTGACAGGTCCATCCATTATACCAATTCTAAACCAAATGTGTGCATAACAACAATAGAGAATCTTTGTTTGTCTCTCTCTGCTATGAGTCAAATTTAAATATGAATAAAACACTAAACAAACAGATTACTTTATATACTTTATATACTTATAAACATATCACAATGAATAGATTGACAGTTGGTGGTAATTTCTGTCAGAGCACATTGCCGTCTCACACATTTCATTGAGACAGGGGTTTTCATCAAGATCCAGAGTGCTCTTGTGGGAGCTTCTGCCGTAGCACATTTTACATATTAGAAAATGCATATTGAACTGCGGCTGGGTATCACATCAGGGATACAAGCCTTCCCCTTGGTTGTTAGAGTGGTCGGGCCTCGGTCAATCTGCTGGAAGGCTTTTCTGTTGTTGTGGATAAAGCTGTCCGGGTAATTGATAAGTGGCTGCTTGGGAAGGAAACCTCCATAATTAAATTGAAATTTGTCAGCTCTTTCACTTCAGCACGCCGTGGATGTGGTGCTTTCAGTCTCCATGGTGATTGCAGGATGCTGGTCTAAATTTGTAGAGGAGATGCGGATGTTTAATTTTCTGATAGTGCCGGATAGCACACTCTAGGATGCGCGGCAGCTTTCAGCTGTCTCCTCTGTGTTTATCAGAGAGCTGGAGGAAACACACTTTGCAGTTCAATGTCATGATTGACTATTTTGAAGCACCCTCCACTTTTCTAATTGAATCATGGTCATATGCAAGACGGATCATTCTATTTTGTTCTCTTTATCATTTTCAAGAAAAAATAAATTATGCCTTCTGGTTTCCTTGTTTCTAAGTGACCAAATGAAATTGAGCTCATGCGGTTTTCTTAGAGCTTATTTTCTTTTCGTTTTCCTCCAGTAATCAGTTTCTGGCCTCAAACCCAGCTGCTGCACGGGGTTTATTTCAAGCCTATATACAGCACATGCACCATAGGAAGCAATATGACAACACTGCACCTATTAAACTAATTTTTACCCTTATAGTGCCAGTCTGGGACACCTTAAGAGTAGCTTTTTATTTAACTCATAGTGGTGTCCCTGAAAACCCTAAATTCTACACCAATCAGCCTCTGCCTAAAACGCTTAATTTTAGATGATTTTCCAATGATATAAAGTTACACACAGCTTTTTGGTGTTACTTTTTAGATGGTTCGGTAGTCATGAAATGAGCAGAAACTTGAAGCTTTACAAAAAAAACATGTCTGAGGTTAGCTGTTAGCACCCTCTTAACTCTAAATTTAACCATATTAGTGTATTTTAGCTATCCCAACATAAGCTGCTGTCATGTTCGGTTCCCATATTGATGGAACACCCCCTAGTTACTGTAGAACTTGAAAGTTTAAAAAGGAGAAATTTACAGTACACAACTTTCACCCATTTTTCTCCGACGGGTTATTTGGGCCACATTAAGGGGGGAAAAAAAAAAGACTTCAAGATTAAAGTCGTTGAGTAACAGGAATAAAGTCATTACTAACAAGAATAAATACATAATAAAATCATTACTTACAAGAATAAAGTCATAATTAGGTTATAACTCACAGGAATAAAGTCGTAATAAAATCATCACTTACAAGAATAGAGTCATAATAAAATCATCACTTACAAGAATAAAGTCATAATAAAATCATTATGATAGTTATGATAATGTGGTGCTGTAACCTTGTTTCAGAAACCTATATTTAAGTTTATTTTCACGAACTGCTCCTTGGCTATCATTTCAAATACTGTCATCTCAAACAACAGGTTAGAACACAAGGACTTTATTCTGATTTTATTCTTGTAAGTTATTACGTTATTACAATTTTAGTGACTCTAGTTAGTTTTGACTTAATTCTTGTAAGTTAAGGACTTTAAATCTTGAAGTATTAGTTTTTTGTGTAATTTTTCTTGTTTTCTGTCCTATTTTTCAAAGTAAAACAAAACTGAAATAAACTTATTAGTGCAGTCAAATATTTGCATCAATGCTATAATTTTTTTGCAATTTGTGACTGGAAAAAGAACAGTCTGATAAATACACAGTAAGGATAATGCAACATCCATTAGTTGAGTTTGAGCACTTCAAAACAAGTAAAGGAAGGCAATGTACACAGTGTGCCGGGAGAAGGATGCCAAAGGGGGTTCATCAAGCATTGACTAAAATATAAGTGACCTAAAAATCCATTAAAAAAAAATGCTTGTTTTCCAGTTCGACCACTTCTCAGCTCTGTGTAAATGTGGCAGCTAACAGTTTGTTATATGACAATCAAACTGAACTAGGCGCATTGTCACCCCAACACTTTGCAAGGCAGAGTGTGTGGGATAACGGCACATATTTGAGGCGTTTGACTTTATAGCAGAGGATGAAGAAACACTCGCATACAGAATGATTCATTTCAAATGCTCTCTGAGTGGTGAGTCACACCAAACGAGCATCACTTATTACTTTTATCACGACATAATTTCAGCTTTTGGGTTATCAGGAGCGTGTGATGCCTGGAAAGGCAGAGGCAGGAAAGGAAGGGCACAGCTTCTGATGCCAGGCAGAGTCACTTGGCAAAGCCTTGAGCTTTCTGGGCAAAGATGGTAAGCCGGTCCTGGCAGGATGAGTGGAGCATATGTGGGTCTGCTTCAGCAAGACTCCACTGTGGCTCGCCAGTAACATGGCCCAACCTTTCTCTAAATCCACCACAGTTTAACAATAGAGGAATGAGAAGCTGTGGTGTTCACAGGCGTAGGGCTGCCAAGCGACAGGTAGACAGGTAGACAGGTGACAAGGTCTTAAGCCTTTCTTTTGGCTGTGGATGTTTATTTTTTGATTAAATGTAACACAAAGCATGATAGTGTGCATGGTAAATCCTCAAGAAACTGTACAAAAGTAGCTTAGTAAGAATGCACTGTTATAGATTCTCCTTAAATGTATTCTGCTCTGTTTCTCAGAGATAGTTATTATGAAAGATTTAGCTGATTTTTCAGGGCCATAGTGAGGATATGGAGTTACATTCTGTGTACTTGCTACAGGAATGTCTGATAAATGCAATCATGCTCCTTTTTCCCCCTTGGTAGCATCCACCCCTCCTATCCAAACATTTCTTTATGAAGCTATACTTTTAAGTGATTGTTTCCTCGTGTTTACCTTTTAAAGTTATGCTCTTAAAGGGTTAAAATAGGCTTGTGCTTAACACTCTTCTAGTCTCTCTTTTACACTACTCTTAACACAAACCTGCTCACATCATATTCACACACATATGACTGATTCCATATGTGTGCACACACCACTGGTTATGTCACTGGGGTGCGAAGTGAGGGATACTGCTTTGTACAAGAATACTTTGTCATATGACTGATGGAGCAAGGATTAAATCCTAAGACCGAAAGACAGCTCTCTCTACCACTGCGCTGCATCCAACCTGTACTCTGCTCAGGTTATGTGGCATAGGAATTTGTACTTTTATGTGATAAACATGAGTCTGAGACATGACCAGTGTACAACCATGTATTTCCACCTTTTTTGTTTTGCTTGTTCTTGTTTTTATGTGAAGGATCAGGAAACAATCTAGGGTGCAAATGATTAAAGCTCTGAGGAAGGCTGCCAATGACTGGGACCATTATTCTGTCTGACGATGAGAGATACAGCTCATGAAAATCTCAGTTTGAGTCATTATGCTGAAAGAAGTGCTGCTGGTGTGCTTGATAAATGTAATTCATTTTGAGAATTGGCTTCAATGTGCGAAATGGTGCCGAAAAAGCTGCCAGGGAGAACATATGTTATGGGAATGAGCTGGGAAATGTAGGTAATAATGCCTGAAGAGGTGCGCGTTATGAGGAATTAATCGACTCGAGGCCAGAACATGCCTGCTACTGACGAGACCATCAATTTCTGTTTATGGAATCCTTGAGGGACATTATCCTAAAGCCAAAAAAGAAGAAGAATCAAGATCAGACTATTCCTTTTAATTAACTATCTCACAAATAACTCAGTTTCTCCAGTTACACCTGAGGCTGTGACCATCTCCTGAAATAATGTCCTTTAACGTCCAATACGTCGGACAAGTTGTTCCACTGAACAAGAGCAAATATTTGATAACCTTGGCAACAGGAGATAACGGGAGTCTACTCAGCTTGTAAAACATTTGAGCTGTGAGACGTGCAGAGAGCTAAAAGCACTTAACGGGATTAAATGGATGAGATTGGTTGACATTTGGTAAATACAATCTGAACTAAATTATGAATCTAGATGTCCAGTCATGAACTTTGCTGTTAATCATCATCATCTTCCAGATTGTACATGATGGGATGAGGAATATCTGTGTTTTGTCAAGTTAGAATTAAATCCTGTCATCCTCTCCAACCAGCAGTAGAGTTACCTGTTGGTCAAACGAGTAATTAATATTTAACTTGCCAATCGCCTACAGTGTCCTAGTTGTATAAGCCACCAGTGGGGGCTAGAAATCTAGTTAATGCTGACTACTACAATGCTATATAAAGCACTGCTAACCAGCCTTAAACAAACATGCTGCAGATGATGCTGCATATCGACCAATAAGCTTTGTCAACCTGCAAACAGAAGTGAAGGCTGGTGGTGCTAGCTCTGCTAACATAAAACTCTGGTTTTGTATGAACTACAGACTCTGTGATCCTGTGTGTATCCATGTGGAATTTTGGAAGCCATTCTTAAAGTGACAGTGCCCCGCATCAACAGCACATTTTCATCAAAGAGCGCTTATTTGGCCCTTTTTCTATTCAACCTCATTTTGTATGTGTCATCTAAAATTTTGACATTATTTAAGTGAATAGTTTTACTGAACCGCAACATATTTTGCCACATTTACACCTGATACTGTACACTGCGGTTTTATAAGAGTGTGCATGATGGCTCATATGTGGTAGGAAAAAAATGCACACAGACTAAACAGTATATGTGTTTGAGTAGTTTTTAAGCAGAAAGTTTGTGTTTTTTAGTTGCCTTATCGTTTCGTTTGGTGTTTTTGTCTTTAATTCCCTCCTTTTTGTCTCTATTAGTTGCTATTCACTGTTCTATATTAGTATCCATGCCATTTACTCTCAAAAACGTCATGGTAACATGATTTTTGGGACCAATACATGGTTCCTTTAAACTCCTTTTTAAACTGTTTATTCAGACAGACATTTAACATTCCCCCCATCCTGTAATCAATACCTAATGCCTTTAAGATATTAACATTATTTTTTATTGACATTTTGCCCTTTGTAATGATCCATTTATCCTTTTACCAGATTGATTGATGTCCGTTGTCAGGAGTTAATTGATACCCTAAAGCCAGCCGGAGTCAGATATCCAACAAGGCCACGGTACAAACCTTGTTAATGGTCTTCTCTTGTTTTTATTGATGGTAAAGGTCAAAGGGCACAGGGTTAGGTGGTACTGGAGGTATGCGGGACAAGAACTCAAACTCATTCTGCCATTAAGGTAACATTAGCTCGCCAGCATTGATTTTCAACACTTGGATTCCTCAGCTACTATGCTGTTGTCACTGTGCCTGACAGAGAGGTGAAAATATTTTTCTTACAAGAAAACGTGTCACAGTACCTATAGATTTTGTGTACACTGTTATAACTCAAAGGTGAGCATATGTTTTTCTTATTTCTTGACAAAGAAATGTCTCATTATAGACCTGAAACACATTCTCCTGACAAATCCAGGGTGACATCTTATTTCAGGTTAGACCTGAGCTGCTGGTAATGGGTAAATATTTCTGCAACAGGGGTACGCAAAATAAAAACAAGTTGATATTTCAAGGAAGCTGACTTCTAAGTTTTGTCTTACACCATTGTCAGATTTTGTTACTCATGACACACAATTCAGGTATTACTTGTGGCTCTTGATATCCTTAAATAACACATTTGTACACGTCTATTTTTCAAGTGAATGTGGATGTGAGTCAAGTCTAATCAGACATATTTTACAAGAAGACAACATTTGCTTTGTTTTGCAGCGTAACTGACAATCAAATGTCTGTGAAGATTTGAGTAAAAAACAACAAGAAAGTCTCACAAGTGGAGATAACATTGATACACAAGTTAATGAAAAATTAGACAATTAAACACATTTTATTAGCAATCTTAATAACAGTAAAGTGAGATTTATTCACACAGGTCCTCACATTTAATTAATACTGATTTTTTTTATTTTATTATTATTTTTTTTAATGCAAGCTTCCAATTATTGAGAACAACCTAGCTATTGGTTCAGGCGTTGGTTTGTTTAAAAAAAAAAAAAAAAAGAAAGAAAATCTACACCCTCCCCATTTTTTTTGTCAAACTAATTCTATACATTTCTCACATTCTTTCTTTACATGACAATATGAGTTTTTCAAAAATAATAATTAGCTTAAGGTATCCTGTTTACCCGACAGACTTAGCGCTTGGTCAAAAGCTAAGCAGAGATACATCATGAAAAAATCGGCAGGAATGTATCATGCTGCAAAAAGAGTTGATGTCTCACTGCACATAGAATATTCAGTACTTATCTTCTGTGTGTGGGGATAAAGGCAGTCAACACACAAGCGAACTGCTGAATATGTAAACAGAGTACAAATTAGTTTTAGAGTCATTGTCTTTACTTTCCCTTTTTTTTCCTCTCTATTTTATATATAAGTCACACAAAGCAATGTGTTCAACTATTGAGATCCAAAACATATAAAGATAGCATAGAGAATAACAGGCACACCTAAAAGACTGTAACTGTGGCTAAAGCCGGATTTGTTCAAATGCAAAAGCTTTGTATTGTCTACAAATTCACATTTATTGACAATTTTTTTCACAAAACCCAAATTCCATCAAAGTTGGGATAGTGTGTAAACTGTTGATAAAACCAGGATTTCATGTTTTGGCAAACATTGAGGGCCTAAATTTGATAAATTGAAAATTGAAATTGGAAAAAAAAAAAGGTTTTGGAAAGCAGTTTTAAATTTAATGCCAGCATGTTTCAACAAATTTAGAACTGGGGTATTGTGATCCTTGTCTGTGATTTAATTTCATGTCATGAATGTGACATGATGAGCCATAGTTTTTTAGTGGGTGAGAACTCGACTATAACTCTCAGACCCTTCTATTAAATGTGCGCAAATTGTCATTTTGCAGCCTCTCGCTGGATTATTTAAGGTCTCAACTACAGGGGTATGGCAGTCTTCTGGCCCAAAACCTGTATATGTTGTCCAAGATTAATGGTGTCTTCCCAGATGTGTAAGAAAGCCATGCTGTGTGCACTTCTGCATCCTCATACAGACCATGGTTTAGACCCAAGGAAAGTTTTCACTTCACACTAAATGGGCTCACCATTTCTGGCATTTCTGGATTATGTTCACTGATGAGATTCTCCAGGCATGTCACACTTTAAGTCTGCAATAAAGATTATGTTAACAGACAATGGTTTCTGAAAGTGAATTTTACTCCTAGCGGTGATTTCCACTTCAGTCATGTCTGGTTTTAATGCAGTCTTGTAGCAAACTACTTTTTAATTAGTTTGAAGATATTTCTCCGGAAGTTCTGTGCAACCTGTTCAGTGTTTTGATGTCACTGACCCAACAATTTTAAACTTGCAGAGAGCATTGAATTGGAAAATTAGCATGTATACTCTAAAAGAAAATAATCAGATTTCGTGTTTTCATCATTTTCAATGACATTTAGGCTCTGAATGATTGGCAGACTGTCAAATACAAGTTTAATCATCATTAAATGCAGAATCCCAACTTTGATGGAATTGAATTTTTATTTTAAATCATGATGGTTTAATGCATGCCTGAAGTGGCTTAATGAACTGTACATTAAGTACATTAAGTAAACTGTACAGCTTACTTTTTATCATTCAACCTTTCATTTATACAAAGTTTTACTTGTGACTCTCTTACCTCTGTCATGAAATACGAGGCCAGCAATTTTACCATTAAACAAACCAATGGCATAACGACAGTTTTCCAAGTCTGCACATTTTTCAGAGCATTTCCATGTGAGAGAGACTCCTGATACACTCTGCTTCATTACCTCCGACACTTCTCATCTGGAATGCCGAGTTAAAAAGTTCATTACCTTTACAGCAGTCATTGATTGATGTCCCCAATTTGATTGGTTTCATGATCTGTCAGGGTAAATAAATTACCCAGAATAAATTACCCCTCTTATTCTTCCATTCAGTGTGTTGCACATGTGCTACTTATTTCAGAAAAACAGATGGCAGGCTCATTTAACATGCAGATCAATAATCTCCTTCAAGCAGTTTGTTGACATCATGAAAGGTGTCTCCGACTACGCAATAATGAAGTCGCTCTTAGCCCCTTTTCCAAAGTGTCCTTTGACCAACTGCGTGTTTTGAACAACAGACCAGTGAGTAGTTGTGTCCGCCGGCCGTGTTTCTACAGTGGCAGGTTTATCTCTTTGGGATTCTGCTCAGAGTCTCTCTGCAGGCTTCAGACAACGCATGAAAGTCAAATAGATGAGCAGGAAAGATGTCCATACAAAAAAATTCAGTGGTATAAATGTATTCCAGATTTTTCCATCCAACACAGAAACCCTCTTCCCAGGCTTGATTGTGAATTTGTCTGATACGCGACAGTTTGAAATCCATATGACATTAGGCTCCAAAGTTCTCCTGTAACACAGTTAGAAGAGGCAAATGGTAAAAGGATATCAATTCAATTTCAGCTGCAAAAAGAGGCCGGCTGAATCATACAATTACCGCATCAAGATGTTTGTTCTCATACATGTGTAAAGTGGCTGATCTTGTTTTGAAAACCCTATGCCACAATTCATCATCCTGCTGTCAGTGGGTGTAAGTCATGCAGACCTGCTCTACAGGGCTCATTTGTTTTGTGTTTGCATTGACGATAAATCTATCCGATGTTGATTCGATTTCTTCCCCAATACTTCAAAACATCCAAATCTCATTTGTCGATCTGAATGTACCAGCGAGTTCCCTTTGAAGAAGTTCTCAAAGCTTGTTGTTTCACCCTTCTGTCTGTCTGTTACCTTTTTTCACCCTCTTCATGTCTGTTTTTTTTGCGGTGAGATCTGAAGGATGGTGTCTGAAATATGCATTCTTTGTTTGACAAGACAGAAGCCTGCAGGTGTTGCTTTGTCCTTTTTGCATCATCAAAAAGTCCAGTCCTCTCTCGGTGAGGTTTGAAAAAACAAGCTGAATACTTTTTGATTTATATTCTCTCATTTAAAACTTGAGTCCTCTCTAGGGGCTTTATACATCTACTGTCACAGCCTCTTTAAGGCATCCCATTGTCTGTGAGAACAAAGATTCCACTTTGTTATGAGCGCTCGAATAGAAAAGAACAGACTGAACTTTGTTTTCGTTTCCTTCAGCTGTTCTTTTGCATGTCCTGTAAATCAGCCAAATAGGAAAAAACTCCCCGACTCATGACTCATACTGTTAAACTTTCTTTGCTTATTCTTTTTTGGATCTTTTAAAATTCTGTTGTGGAGATCTGGGTGACCTCTGACTGCAGATCTTGCTGGATCCTCCTCGAGCGAGAGCTGTGGGGGACCCGGTCCATGCCTAGTCATGCCGGCTTCTTCCCTGGCCCTGATGGAGCGCAGACAGATGCCGGCTCCTGGGTGGTGTTGCGACCTCTGGTCAGGCTGTGCTGCTCCACACGGGTCCTGCAGGGAAGGCAGAAATCCCTGAAGCATCTCTTGAAATTTTCATCCAAAAATGCATAGAGGACGGGGTTGAGGCTGCTATTGGTGTAGCCCAAAGCGATACACAGGTGCCAGCTTGCTATCACAAAGGGGTTCCTGGTGTCAATCTCCACCATAGTCTTCACAATAATGAAGATGTGGATAGGGGTCCAGCAAATGATGAAAGCTGCAACTATCACCAGGACCATGCGGGTGATGCGTCGCATGTTGCGGTCTTTCTCTTTGGAACCCGAGAGCAGACGGACACTCCTCAGGCGCAGAATCATCAGGCCGTAGCAAATGGTGATGACCAGAACAGGAACCACGAACGCAAAGATGAAGACGCAGATCTTGGTCACTGTGTCCCAATACCAGTCAGGATCCGGAAACTTCAGCATGCACAGGGTTTTACCTGGAAAGTGGGCAGGAAAAGTTAAAAGAAAAAAGTTCATGTAGGGTTATGGGATCAAGCTCATGTGGACAGATAAATGTTTACTGAACTGAGGATAAACTTATAGAGAAGTACTGTGTGATAAGACGAGGTAAAAAGTTAGAAATTACAAATGTATGTGCTGTGGAGTATAATTTTTGAATGACAAACTCTACAAACTTCAAATCCTGTGGCTAAAAAAAGAAAGCTTACGAACAAAATAAAATAATATATATGTGCTTCCATAGTTTGATTTGACCTGTAAATTAAAAAGTAATAAATAATCTATCAATATTTTAAGCTCCATATTTCACACAAAAAAAGTCTTAAAGCGGTTTACACACATTGAGGAAAAACAGAATCAAAAGTGGGCAGACACCTCAAGCAGGACAAAACTGACTGGTGAAAAGCCTTCTGCCTGGACAGGTCTCGCAAACACATTCATACTGTCAGTCTGGATGTCATACAGCTGTTTTACTGAGGCAGGGGCGCAGATTGCAGAAATCTGTTTCCCATTCAGCTTAGCTCATTTGGGATGGTGAGTTGTAGAAGAAAATAGATGCTTTTCGTGGCTAAGCGTAGATAGGGATGCACCAATCCAATATTGATTCTTAAATTTGGATATCTGCCAATACCGATACTATTCCGATACCACAGCTGTTAGCTTTACCATCATTATTAGCATTATTGTTTATTTTATGAGGCTGTAATATATTCCTCTCTACAGGCAAGTATATGTCTGTGTGATGTCCTTAACTGAGGCGTGTCTCATCTCTATGCTTCATTGAGACATGCCTCCTTTCAGGAAATCCATTGTGCAATTTGCAGCCAGCTAGCAGACTGACCAGCAAGAATCACCAGTACAGTCATTTCAGCAGACACAGTTAAAGCAGAGACAAGACTAATGGATCAGAAATTTTCGCGATATTAATTTCCGATCCGTGGATTATGTTGGTATCGGAACCCAATACCGATACTGGATCGGATCGGCCCCATCCCTAATCGTAGAAGCGTGAAGTTAGTGATGTTAAGTGAAGAGGAAAAGATGTGCAGTTCCTTCGAAAGGAACTACCCTGAACCATATATCAAGATATACTTCATAGAAATATATCATCTGGTTTTAATGGGTTATTCTAGGGTTGAATAGTCTAAGTGTTTCAAAGGCTTGTCCCATCTTTCTCTCTGTGGATCCACAATGTTTCATTCGGGAGCACGGATAGGACTCGATTCATAATTACCATTATTCTCTGTTTTCCTTTACGTGACATGGAAACTGATGAAAGACCAAAAGCTTGGCATAGTGAAAGCTAATTATGCAGATCAAAGCGTCTTGAAGGTCTTTTCCACTGTGATCTGAGTCTGTTCTTTTGTCATATGGCAAAGATTCAGATGGATGAGCCATACAGATTGAACTGTATATGGTTCATCTTGTTTGAAAGGAGTGGTCTACGGAGCATGGAATCTTGAAGTGACCTTCAAAGATAAAATGGAGAGGAAATAAAGCTTTATCTCACCAGTTTCTGTCACTTTGGTCACAGCCATGATCATTATGGGCACCCCGATTGCAGAGGACAGGACCCAGATGAGTACATTGATCATCTTCGCCTTGACTGGTGTTCGAAACTCCAGGGCCCTGACTGGGTGGCACACAGCGATGTAGCGGTCCACGCTCATCATGGTGAGGGTAAAGATGCTTGTGAACATGTTGTAGTAATCGATGGCGATGATGAGCTTGCACAGGATTTCCCCAAACGGCCAGGTGTTCATGAGGTATTTGGCGCTCTGAAACGGCAGCGTGCTGGTGGCCAAGGCGTCAGCGAGGGCCAAGTTGAAGATGTAGATGTTTGTGGCAGTCTTCATCTTGGTGTATCTGGTTGTGTTCAGAGAGCAGAGAAGAAGAAAAAAAAGTGTTTGTAATAAGTAGCAGCTGTAATGGGAGCAGTTGGCTATGGGAGTCTCTGTTATGGGACACGGGGATTTGAAAGTGATATGCGCAGCATGTTTTATGGCTTACATAAAGAGTTAATTCCCTCATGTTTTGGGTATGCAGTGTAAAGCTGGGAGTCGCTGGTGCTAATTCCTCAAAGCTTAGACTTTTTTTTTAAATGGGTGATTTGAGATAATGGTTACAATTGGCTTGTTGGCCCCTGATCTAGCAGCCTACTTACAAAGAAAGCATCAGAGACCTGTGGTAAGAAAATACTTCTGTTTAAATGAGGCTCATATATATTTTATGACCTGGACTTGGCTTTCAGTGTGGGACTGTGATTTGAATTGTGTTAGAGATTAAGAAATTTGAAGAAAAACAATTATCAGCACTGTACTTTATGTGAAACGATACAGTAATATTGACTTATTGGGGTCAGATATTCTCCTCTGAGGCATAAGGCTTTATTTCTCTTATCTGAACTCTTCCGAGATATATTTGCTCTGTGTTAAACTCAACTGCATTAGTTTTCCAAGAGATAACAGGATTTTTTTTAGATCACTACATTCAATAGCACTCAAACTAACATGCGAAGAAGTGGACAGCCTTAAGGCACAGAGGGACAAGTAGAGATTAAAATTTCATTAAATATTCAATTCCGCGATGGTCCATGAATACATTAAGCCGATACTAAGTGGAATTGGTGAAACCTATCTTATGTATTATTTTCTGTTCCTTAATTATTGAGTTTAATGATGGTGTATCTGTTGTTTTTAATGGGGGCAGAATGAAAAGGATAATATTGATACCACTGGTACTGCTTATTGTTCTGGTCCATGAGAATACAGCCAAGTTGAATTGCTAAGTATGGACATTTATTCTGCTGATAATTAAAACTGCTGAGATACACTGTAACCAAGGGCACTGTGTGGTGGCACTGATGGGAATGGGGTTGCGTATCCACAGTCATATCACATACACTCTCATCTTGTGCTGTTCTTTTCTGATGGGAATTTTTGACCTTGAACAATTGAGATGTGTCTGAAGGCTGTAACAAAATACCAGAGTTGACTAATGGGTATTACTGGCTCATCATAGGTGATCGTAGTGGGTGTTCTCGGTAGGTGCCACACATAATAAACAGAAAGAAGATGAGGAAGAAACAACAGCAGATGATAACCATGAATGTCACATCAATATTGGTATAATAGATCTAATCAAAAAGCCATCCCAACAGAGATTAAATGAGATTAAACTAAGATTGAGTTGCTGTTGCTGACTGAGTCATAACTGTAGACAAAAGAAAGTGATGACATATTGAGATTCATGGTCATATTCAAAGGCAAAATAATCTATTTCCTAACTTATTGGATAGTGTAAGAAAGCAGCACAGGATCATCTGCCCATTATCACGGTGTTAAAAAATTAAACTGATGGGGAATTGAAAAAAAAAAAAAAAAAAAATTGCAGTTCCTTGAGTGTCCACTTGAGGCTGGCTGAACAGGAAATGGAGACCCATTTAGGTTTCACATTGTTTTTTACAACAAAATCATAGATGTTTACAACGTGAGAAGGTTTAGTCGCCATGGAAGAGAAGGAACCATTTTGGTCTCCTAAGCTCCAGAGTCAGATTGATTTCACTTGATTGGTGTGTTCTAGTTTATAGCCAACCTCAGTTCCAAATCTTTGTATAGATGCCAGGTAAAAAAATATATAAGAAAGTCATGTATGGTTAATAAATCAAAGCACATGGTTTGCAAAGTACGGAAACTTAATCTGTGGGTGCAGATTCATAATTTGGAAACATTATTTGCAAACTGGGCACGCAGATTATAACTTGGCATTCATAGTAAACACAGTTGCTTCTCTCAGATAACGAGAAAAAGATCATTTCCGAGACATCCACAGCTACCCTGCAAGTCAAACTTCATCCACATCTACCCTGCAAGTCAAACTTACCTGTAATTAAGAGTAGATATGATGCTATAGAATGTTTTGGATTGGGGAACCCAATGGATAATGTAAAGGTTTCCTAGTGATGGGCACAGATTTGCAATTTGTACATACATGGCTTCCTCTTTTCTTGACTTGGCATGCAGAGGGCCTTTTTCTATATTGATGGAAAGCTAGGCTGAGACAGAATTTCCAATATCATTACCACCAACGACTTACTGTTAACTTTTAAACTTTTCCAACTTACATGGAAAAAACTAACCAATGATATTGATAAGATTATGTACAATGGATATTATTATGTGTTAAGGTAGAGCAGTTTGTTGTCTGTAAATATGACAATGTCTCCTGGTGCATTCAAATGGGGTTGTGCTTACAGTCAGATGAGACCTTCTGAACTCCTCCCTTTTAATGGTACTTACAATGTAAGTCAAAATCTCAATGGTGTTTTCAGAAATTGTGGGGCCGAGGGAATCCAGTTTTTTGGTGGATGGTAAATAGACACAATTAGATTTCTTCAACCTTTCTATGGTATGGTATGCAGACCTATTGTTAATGTCAAGTTTGCCGTAGATCTGTGGCATCCATGTTTCTGTTGCCTAGCAACAGCGTTCCCTTTGGGTTACCATTTAATTAAGTCTGCAACTTCATCACATGACTTTGTAAGTTCCATTGAAAGCAGCATCTATTTCATATCAATTTCTATGTAGTTGCTAATCAGTCTGTAAACAAAGAATGAATACTGCGCCATTTATGAAGGTTGCTTATCAAATAAACTTATAATTGCCTTTCCATTTGTCAGACCATCAGTGTTTATACAATTGGTTGCCTGGAGTATAGCAGCCCACTGTTGTCTTAGTGTGACCTACCCTGGCAAGATAAAATAAATAGAACTGGTCACCATGTTCACACAATGAGTTGTCACCTCTGTCTTAGCCCTTACAGTTTTAGATAAAGGCTTCACTTCTTTTTAGAACTTATCTGAACAAACCCAGAGTGACTGGCTGTCTTGTTTTGCTGTCTCAGCTCCCTTGTTTTATTTGCTTCTTATATTAATTTCTAGAAAAATACCCAAAAAATAATGATGTTTTACCAAAATTTGTTCTTGCTTATTTAACAGTTGCACACAAATTGTGTAACTGCTTAAAGCAGTAAAAATAATAGATGTTTATTCCATACATTCATTTGTCTTGTATTGTGCATTGTGTCTGCATGCCTCCAGTGGAAAAAACCTTTGACACATTTCACATTCAACATGCGCCATTCTCAGGTTACAGACAAACAACACAACGGTTCACCATACTTGATTTACAGTCTCTCTCTCTCTGCTGTTATTGTCACTACTGCTCTGCACCAGCACTATACCCATGCTCTCATCCCAAGGGAGCTGAGCATCAGCAATGTTCTCCTGGCGCAGTCAACATTTGAAGCAATTTAAAATCTCCATTAATTAAAATAGCTAATTTGTTTTACTCTTTTTTTTCTGTTTTCTCACTCAGTCTCTGTAGTCGTTTCATAATAGTCTGTTAGCTTGAGTTTGACTACCAGATTAGTATCTAAGTAATTCTGCTCATCAAGAGCTCAGTTGACAATGTTTCAGATGACTGTGTTGGGAGCTGGCTTCTGAGGATATACAGTATTTGTGACTAAACCATGTGGGCTTAAATATTGCATAATGTAATAATTCAGTTTGAAGTGAATGTTCAAAGCCTGCAGCGTAAGAGTCCCATCAGTTGTTCCATTATTTACTATCAGGTCCAACATCCATCACCAGAAAAAGTCATCACTATGGTCTGCATCTCTCTGCTCAGATGAATATGGATCACATGTAAAATGTATAAATACAATTTTTTCAGTTGTATTTTAGAGTAGAGAATGAGTAATTTTCTGCCATCGCTAAAAAAGCTAAATAATTTGTTACATGATAAATGGTTGGATCTCGTTTAAGTGTGCCATTTTCAGGAGCTGCTGCAGTGTATGCTGGATCAATGGTGTTGTGTACATAGAGCCCCATTCTCACAGCATTTATTTCTCCAGGGGGGAACACGTTGCAAGTCGGAACCCAATATGGCACCAGAAAAATTACAGAAGTACAGAAGAGAGGGAGATGCTGACTACAATTAGGGTGTTGTAAAGAAAAAAACTGTCATTTCAGATGAGAAGTGATTACTCTGATATCTACATGAAGAGTGGGTACCCATCAATGAGTGCGCCATCTTGCATCGCCATGTTCTACCATAGCACAGGAGAGACAAACTTGTGGTATATACATAATATTTAGTGATGACTGCATGAACTGCACCATTTGGAAAATAAATATGAGGACTGTGGTTGTTGCTGTATGCAACAGGATTTATCCAACGCGATGTCACTTTTACTTTGCGTGAAGTGAAATCTGATATTTTACTTTTCTTATTCTCCACATTTTGGTGTATTAATGACCTCTGGTGTAAATTGTTTTGCTGTTTTGTATTGTTGCAGACATATGCCCCAATGTGGCTGTACTGGAAAAGCAAAGTCCCAAAGGCTTAAGGGGGGACTATCCATTTAAAGTGCTTGTTCTTACAGCTGACAGGCTAAGATTAACATTCAAAGTGTCTGAAAACATTGCAGAGATAATCCAAACAGAGATTAATGTTTTTAATCTCTTTTAATGTGAAAATCTTTTTCTTACTAGAGACAGTCATTACATTGTTGTCTCTAAAGATAGCAGGCTTCATTGATAAAAACAGTCCTTTTACTGCAACCGAAGTCAGGGTCCCTCCAGGCTACATTCAGTTTTCTTTCATTTCATCATCAATTCAAACTTTTATTCAAGGGTGTCATCAAAGATGACAATGCTGAGAGTTTTATTCCCACTGACTTAGACAATCTGTTTGAACATAACTTGTATGTTCTGTAAATGAAAAGTTAAAATCCTTTCATCATTCGACTTTGGAGCTTAAAAATCCAATGTTATTTGGACACATCTCAATAAGCCTGAAGCATCAAAAATAAAACAACTCGATTTATTTTTGTCAGACAAGACAAAATTAAAAACTGCTGCCTGATGTCTGTTAGACATTTTTTTAAATTATCTAATGACTTTTATTAATTTTTACTCACTGCAAAGGACTTGGAACTTACAAATCAGCTCTAATGTAAACAGTCTTTACAGCAAGCACAATTTGTTCAGCACTTGTTGCTTTTGTAAAAATAAAAGCTTAAAAAAAAGATCATTTCCGAGAGTAAAGATGGCTCTCAAGGAAAAAAAAAAGTCAGTCACAACAAGGAAAAAAATACTATCCATGTATATACAGTATATACAGTATATTTATTTATTTTTTACTTTTGCTTGGCAGCTAAAGCTTTTTTTTAACGGGGAATGAAATATCTCTATGGTCCGAGTCACTTTCATTATTGAACTGTGATTCCTAAGAAATGGCTTTCCTCAGCCCCTAATCTAAGCTGACAGGACAGGGTGGCACTGAGTGCACCCTGCTTTGCAGCACAGCTGTCACTTCACTTTCCTTCAGTAAACAAGTAAAGGAGTGAAAGGGCCTGGATGCTTTTCTATACAGTCTGCTATACTGTGAAGATGAAATGGCGAACTAGAGGTAGAAAATGATGCAAGTCTGCTGCCCTTTACTGTTGGGTTTTCTTGTTTACACAAGATGGATAAATCAGGGTGAAATAATTGGAAAGGAAAATGTTGCAGTAGCTCATGGGCTTTGAGATATAATGAAACATCCACACTGGCACACAAGAGTCTCTTGGATTAAGAGGATACCAGCATGAGTACAGGCAATGTGGCATGAAGCAGGTGAAACGGCTGCAGGGGATGCTTTTTTATGGTTTTACGGCAGGAGTCTGTGTGGCAAAATGTACCTTCTTTCCAAAGGCTGCAAGAACATGACAAGAATTTAATTTCACAGTGAGCAGTGAAAACACACAGAGTCTGATTAAAGGCTTATCCATTTTCCTTGTTTTGCCAAACACTCGGCTGGTCCCCAGGTTACGTAGCATTTGATTCAGAGAAATATTCAAAGAAAAAGGGGGCTTTCAAAAGATCCACATTGCTTTTTGAAAGAGTGGGAAACCAATTGTGTGTCAGGAATCTATATGAAACGCCTTTTTAATGTCCCAATAAAAGATGTTTTTCTGTTTCACAGGCTCACTCTGTGATGGTTCAATGCTTTCTTTTTTAATCGGTTGTTTCCTTTCGTTTGACTGCCTTCTACACGGCTGTCACAGCTGTCCAATCCCCTCCTCCTTGTACTCCTCTCCTGGTTTCACTTCATAAGATTTAATGTTTCAGACAGGGCGGTGCAGGCACACTGGAAAGTATTGACCCACTCTGTGTCTCTAGACCATGTAAACGATTTCTGCCTGTTCGCTTAGATACCATTGATCGGAGTCGACCGCAACTGGTTTATTATTCATTTAGCCATGTATGTATGTAAATTCTGTTAAGCCATTCAGGGTTAAAGGAGCACTTCATTGTGCATAAAACCTTACCAAAAATGGTAAAATATCTCTGAACAAGACACATTTTTGGCATTGCAATAAGCTGCAAACATTACGTAATTAATAGTGATGCATAACATGTTCAAAATATCATTATTTGACAGGTGTTTGACTTATTTGCTTTCCTCAACAAACCCAGCACAGTGTGGCAGGACTCAGCTGAACATAATTGGCCTTCTTCCGTCAGACATAGATGGTAGAAACATGTTATCGATTTCAAGACAAAATCAGAAACATGATCATAGAGTCACAACTGGCTCGGGTTAAAAATGAAGCGCTGCATTGAAATGTTTAGAGTAGAGAAATAATTATGTATTGATTTATTGATACATCTATTGTATCATTATTGCTGTCAGATAGCCTTAAATTGCTTGTTGGGGTTATAGAGGTCTATATGGTACCAGCAGTGTCAGTGTTTGATTCATTTTTGATACTTTTCTCTACACTAGCTTGAGATACAGAGCATGGCTTTCCTTTCTCTGCTGATTCACAAACAGCCGGACTCTCCTGTGTTCCAGGGCCTGAGGGTCATACAAACCCAACTCAGACACACAGACAGACATAAATGCTGGGAAATATGGAAGTCAGGCAGTGAGACACAGCTGACATGTTGACTCAGGCCAGGAAGTTGGCAGACAAACAGTTATGCTCCTGCAGACTACAGGCTATTTTCAGGTAAATTTCCACTCTCCATCATGATTTCAAGGGGTATGAGCGCTGATGGGGATGCAGCACACCATTAAATCAACCGTTATAAATCCATAACCTACTTAGGACTGCAAATTTATGTTTTCCCTCAATTTTATGCTAGTGTCAGTAAAGTATATACAGCTCCTGCCAGAAAAACTGTGAAAAAAGGAGCTCTGCCATTAAAGCAGTGTGAGTTTACAGTTGCTTGAATCTATAGTTTAGTGAGTGTGCTGACAGTTTCATATTACACAAGGGATGGGTCATAATTTTTTACAAATATTATCATATTTATTCATTTGAAAACATACAAATATTATCTTTTTGGCAGTTTTCATCAGGCAGTTTTCATCAGTGCTTCAGAAATATGTTTCCTAGCTGCCTAAAAATAAAAGAATAATAATTCTAACCACAGAATTCAAACACTGATATGGTCCATTAATTGGACTGGTGTCACAGAGTATTTCTTTTCTTGTCTTAACTGGTGGCACCACAGATGGAGTAAAACATGGATAGAGTCTCAGGGACATCACCCACTGGTTCCTGAAGCAGTGCTTTAAAGCTTGTAGGGGATTGTCACCATATTGGAATTGCTAAATTATTAAAACTTTCAGGCAGTCTACAAAAGGCAAAAAGCTGGAGATGAGGTGGGCCTCTAGCCTTCTTGGTTGCAACTAAAGTAAGCCTCATTTAAGTCAGCCCTATCCAAATAATACACATTTCATGGCATTAATATTTTTAAGACTAATGATTAATAGTAATAAAAAAAAAACCTCTAATCTATTCAAACAAATTTTTGATGTTTTGATGGGCTCTTTAGAGTGGGTGTTTATGAGGGCTTCTGCAGCGAGCCTCAAGTGGACATTTGAGGAACTGCAGATTTTGCACCTCTGCATCAGTTTTATTTCTCAAAGCAAGAGGTTGCTAACACAGTAAAGGAAGTGAAGTTTCTTATTTAATTGATTGTGTAAGGTATGCAGGTGAAAAGCTGGGATAAATAGAGTTCTCTGAATCTAAAGCTCACTTATCTCATTTACCTAGTATAAATTTCTATATATTTTCATATCACAATATACTGTATAGCTGGAAAGGAGAAATGCAGAAAATATCTCAGGTCCACTTTTGTTCAGTAGCGATAAGCTAGGTGCATTTGTGCACAAGTGGTATTGGTGATGAGTGTGTGGGGGTGGGTGCATGTGTGCTGAGCATGGGGTTATACAGATCCCAGGGACTATCAAATAATATTTTGAATTGCCAATCCCTACTTTATTCAGTATAACCAACCTTGTGCAGTGATAAGAGATTCATCTCAAATTAAATCTTCCAGTTTGGTGGATAATCCATAACACTCTGTTTAAAAAGAGAGTGAGCAAGCACAAAGGCAACAGTGCCTGAATACAACTTCAAGTGCATTGCAATACGTCCTTACAATAACAGAAGGACGCATCTCATCTGGAAAGGTCAGAAGGGGTTTGAGAGCAAATTACAGTCTATGTAACAGCCTATCTCTTGTATGAAATGACTACTCGTCATATAGTTCTGCATCAATATAAAATACTGTATGATGAAATAGACACAGGCCAGATCTCTTGCAGTGCACATGCTGTCATACTCTATCATCATCCTGTTACCTCTCTGCAGGGTTCATGATTTATGTCAGTGTTGTTTTACTGTGAAAGTTCAATTCTGCTGGGTGTTGTGGTGTAAAATGTTCCAACATCAGATTGAACTCTGTCAAAGATAGTCCTGGAAATTTGAACTGATGCAAAACCTTGGCGTCAAATGTAATTACATTATATAAGGTTATATATATACTGTATATATAAGGTGGGGCTGCACAGTATTGAAAAGGGCATTTTTTTTCTCTTTCTGCCAGATATATTCAAATCTTCTTCCTTCTTATTCCACACTGTGTTACATGCATGCATCATTAGAGAGGAGACACTATGGGAAAGAAAGCACAGATAGAGCAAATCAGTACAACATAAACCAAATGAGAAACAATATAGACTTATTTGCACCTAGACAATCAATCGGTCAATATTTAAAATAATATTAAATCTGCATTGCAGGCAACATGATGGTTTTACTTATAAAACCAAAACTCATCATCTTCCTCTGCATATAGTTTTCACATCAACATGATGTATGTGCACTGCAGCTGTAGACTCTAAAATCAAACACTCATTTGTTGTCTCATTTGTGTATTGGTCCAACAGTAAGCCTCCAACATTAACAAGCATGAAAACAGACAGTACAACACTGTTCTGAAGGAATTTTGAGGGGTGTCTATAACAGTAACAGACCCTTAAAGGTGGGGTAGGCAGGCTCTGAGAAAGTGCCAGTTTTTGGGAGAAATCTTGAATGTAAAAACTTCCCCTCCCAACCAGTTTTCCCCTCAGCTCCTCCTCTCCCCTCCCTCTCTGCTTCATCAAGCCCCGCCCACAAACAGACGCTCCTGCTCACTTGTATCGTTTCAATCAAATTCAGATATAATGCAGATATATAGTTCAGATAATTACCCAGTCAACGTGAAAGTAAAAAGCATTGGTGCTACTGTAGACGCCAACAGTCTACCAGAAAACACAATGTTTGCAGGACTTCTACAACTAGGATAAAGTGACATAGTCCAGGGCCCAAGGTAAACAGTTTAGTGGCGCTTCAACATGCAGCAGGTCCCGTTTCACAAGAAACACTTCTGTTACAGACACTTGGCTTACTTTGTTGAAGCGGTTTACCTGTCCAGCAGAAAGGTTACAGGGTCCGTAAGATCCCGACGCGTCCCCTCTTGCTTCGCTAGCTTCATTGATGTTGACCCGGCTTTTTAGCTCTTGTCTGGTCTATCTCCGTTTTAAGCGCCGTTATTCCACCAGAGTCTCCAGTATTTACTTCATTTTATTGTTTGTGTTGGCAGTCATGGCCAAAGGAGGATTCAGACAACTTCTGTACTTTGCGGTTGGTTTCTGCTGTCTGATATTGTAGTACGCTAACTTTGCTTGGGCTCATGAACGTTATTCGAGGACGTGGAGCGTGCCTCACAACATTAGGGAGCAGCGTCTGCCTCACAACCAATCAGGTCAAGGAGGTGGAGAACGGCTTTGTTTACAATCAGAATGGGCGGTACGCTCAAAAAATCTAAAATGTTGACTACACAGACTTAAGAGAACACAGCGAAAATTGTGATATTCTCAAATGTCATCAATAGCTTATAGCTACTGACTGATATTAAAAGCTTTTTTGGAAATACACCACAAAATGATGCTTCTTTAACGGATTCCTGTCTACTCTACCTCTAACAGGCATGAATGCTTTCAGTCTTGTATCCTAGAATAAACCTGTACTACAAGGAAGTGGCAACAGCAGGAGGTCTTAGAATATGTGACTTACATTGGACATCCTAGGATGTGACTACATGTGCATGCACATATTGCAGTTGTGGTGCTTGATGATATAATGTTCAACCTTATTTTGCAGAGCAAAGGTCTTACAGATCTTCCAGTTGCCTGAAGAAAGAAACTGTTCTCCTGAGGTTGTGGTCAGTCACCCAGAAGCTTCATCTTCTTTCTCTACCAAAGCATAAACAATGCATTGCTGTCTTTATGGAGATGGAGTCCACCAGAAGCAGCTCAGTTGATAATCTGCCAGCCTTCCACTGGCTGCTTTCATATGGAGGTCACTTCACGATAAACCGCATGATCACACAGCCAGCTCTTATCCAACAGATGTAACAACCATGAATGAGGTAGGAGAGAAGCACCTGCAGTGTCAGCAACAGCCTCTCCATCTGTAGTCAGACCGAGGGCTCTCCACGCCACTCTAACCCAAAACCCCAATTCCCACTGACAGAGGCATTCATGCAGACACCACTGTAAATTGGGTTTCTGTGCATCTGAGGGTCTCTATCCAGGAATCTCAGTCAATGGCAACATCTAAAATTAATGACTTTTACTGCATTTATGAGTTGGCTGATCCTCAGGGCAAACAAATCACATAAGGATGATCTCAAGTAAGTTTTAGAAGATATAACTTCTGAAAGAAATGGCAGCAAGAGGACGGTTTCTGGTGATAGGATGTCGAAACATGTTTAAAATGTTTCAGGCATTAAAATAAAGACAGAACTAGTTTTTGCCTCGTTGCCGATAGTTTGCTAGCATGAATGAACTACCCAGTGTTTCTCTTGTTTTTGTTCAGTTAGCTTAAAAATAAGACTTCATTTCAAATTCATTTCACTTTTTGTCAGTTTGGAACGCCTTCCAAGTAGTTTTACATGATTTGCAACTCTAAAAAGCCCTTATTTGTCTTATCCTGGTATTTAGCCTCTTCCTGAAACACTTTGTTGCGGCTGTTTTTAAATTGGACAAAGCTTGTGGGTGTTACCTTTTACACAACAACTCCAAAGTTAATCTGTAACAGAAGAGTGCCAAGGCTAGCCATTAGTATACATGCCTGCTCTCCATTATACAGTATGTTAGCTAACGTTACATTACATACTGTTTCACTTTGACTTACAGCTTGTGGTTCTGAGCCTTAATGCAAAGTTTTTAGAGATGCAACAGGTTTCAGTAACAGTTCAGGTGTAAATCCAGCTACATTCTGGCCGCTTCCCCGAAAACTTCAAACCTTCTCTTTGTTTTCCAATCTCTTCATCTCTTGGGAGAAGAAAACAGCTGTAACTTTTCTTTATGTCCAGAATAACAACTACAAGTACGGAAACTTTACAAACATACTAAATCAACAAAGTGCAGAGCAAAGGAAAAAGGCAGAGTGGCAAAAAGGACTTTCCGGGTGATAAAATGTGAAAGACCTTCTTCCTTGAAAGACATGTCCTTCAGCGCTGTCCAAAAAAAAAAAAAAAAAAGAGCAGTCTGGTGCCACGTCCAGGCCAAGTCTCATGAAAATAGCTGATCAGAGATGCCAAATTAGGACTTACATCTCGTGTTTTGAAAACTGTCTGCATTTAGTATGGACACCTAATATTTTATGTATGTATTACAACATATGAGCTATCCAGTTCATGGGACAGCTTTAAAATAAAGGAACAGAAAAAATGACACCAGGGGTGTTTTTATAACTAAGTTTTCTATTTCTGCTCTTTTTTTAAGTTTGCTCTTCGCAGACATTACAGATGTTTCACAGGAGATAATATATTCTGACGGGAATGGTTAATGTGCTCAGCATCCCTCTGCTGCCATCTCAAGGGGGCCTCGAATCACTGATGAGTCTCTTCACACACACAAACTCAAATGCCAGACAAATAGCTGCGCAGAATTTGATTCACTAGCTTTCCAAAGCGCTCATCCATCTCCTTTTTGTCTCCCACTTACCTCACCCACACCCTCCTTTTTTTGCCTAAAGTGACTTGCTTTGCCCATTATTCTCCCCCTGACTCCTGAATGGAAAAATGATGGAGTGGAGAAAATGTAGGTTTGATATAAAGTAATTGGAGCTTGCCGAAAAACTCTGTCTTGGCTTGTGGCTTTTTCCCAAAACTGATCATTTTCTCTCAGGTCCTCTACTCCTTTCCTTCTTTCACTGAGTATTTAAAACAAAATCTAGCTGCTGCTCTCAGTCCAGCCTGTCAGTCCAGTGTCATGATTGTGGGCTGAAAATGAGCACTCGTGTTGCATGCTTTGCCTGTACCTCGCTGAGTTATCCATCTCTGCTAAAACTGGAGCCTCTTACATGAATTTAACCTGTTTGTTTATTTCCCTGCCTCTCTGGAGTCATTAAAGCTTGTGATGTTATTGGGTGAACACACACACCAATTACATTTTAATTAATATGATGAGGGAGGACAAGCAGAGCAGTTGTAAACATTTTTTTTTTTTTTTATGTTAATCATGTATTTTCAGTCAAGGTGCTTGTATACAAAGACAGAGTAGGTGTATTACATTATATCGCATTAGAAGCTGAGGGAAACACAAACTGTGACTTCAAATACATGTCAAGCAGTGGATCCCTCACAGCTTTAAAATGAAGAAAACTCCTGTATTATTTCTCATTTTTTACATATCAGCACAGCAACACTGAAACTACTTAAAAAAAAAAAAACTTAAATAGATGAAAAAAATATAGTTTTACCATTCTGGCTTAGAAACCTACATCATAAATCAGACACTAAATGAAGCCAAACACCTACAGACAATTTAGAGAGACCGTTTCACCTGGTGTTTGTGTCTTTAGGTTACAGAAAGAAGCCATAGCACACGGGGAAAACTCAGGCATTCATGCAAACATCACTCAGAAAAGGATCGTGCCTGTCCAAGGTTTTCAAATAAGAAATCTCCCTGCTGTGAGGCAGAGTTGCAACAGCCCTCAGTCCCCAAATTGCATTCCTGAATCTGCAGCCTCTGAGTCTGCAGACACATGCTGCTTGTCAGACTCAGACTGAATGGAACAACTACATCTGAGACAAGAGATCTGATTCTCCTCAAACCTAACCTGGACATTTGACAACATGCATGTGTTGCTTTAAGAGAAATCTCCTGTTCATGCAAGGAACCACAGGTCACTTGCTGGGTCGAATCAGTCGATTGACAGTATAGATTTAAGACAACAGCTCTGTTTATGAAGCAATAAAAGTCCACTCAAATATATGTATACAGAAAAAGCCTACCATGCTCTCTGAAAAGTCCCTTTATGCAGTCACGTACCATGTTCCTACTTTTAGCAAAGGTTATCAAAACACTACTTCTTTATGGCACCAAAGTTTCCTTTGAAACAGGAATTTTCTGTATGTAAAAGATGAAAAATAAACCAAAAATCATCTTTTAATTCAATTGAAATGTTCCAAAATGAAGCAAACTGTTGCAGGACTGTAACTCACTCCTTTTTAAAAGTCTTGCCTAAGGGTCTCTTACAAGTCTCATAAGTTATTAGGACCAGAGCTGTAGGTGCAGCTCTGTGTCTTCTGTCCCTCTCTGACATATTTGTCCTTCAGTCCTGACTTAACACCAAGGAAAAAAGCAGGAGTCTTTTTTTACCTGACCACCCCATACATAACGAGGACATTTCCCAGCAGTCCCACCACGCAGATAACGGAGTAGAGAGCTGTGATGGATATGGCTATGATGATCCCTCCAGTGCTCTTCACCGGACCCTGCTTCTCCGTATAGTTCTGCAGCCTGAAGCTGCTCTCCTCGTCCTGGAAGGTGACATTAAAGGGGATGACGGAGTAGAGATCTGACAGGGAGAGCTGAGCCCCCGAGACCGTGTACGGCTCCATGCTGCGATACTGTCAAAATATCTAAAGAAACTTAACCGTCTGGGAGGAAAAAACAGACAGCGATTCTGACTCAAAGTGGAAAGAGAGTGAAACAGTTTCTGCAAAAAAAAAAAAATCTGGAGGCAGAGAACCTGTGCGTAAAAAGAGCTCAGGTTGTTCCTCAGCTCTGTATCCGGAGACAAGAGGAGAAGTAGCTCTCCACTAGCGGTCAGCAGCAGTGTGTGTACTGCTCTGGTAGTGTGAACACTTCTTATACTCTCCGGGATCTCCACCTCACAGCCCGCTCGCCGCTTTTTACCCGTGTGTCGACGTCAAAGGCTGCGCGCTGATATGGTCATGAGCGTCAAAGGGGAACGGTTGGGTGATGGGTGCGCAATACCTGAACACAAACAAGAGTTGTGATATGATTTGGTGGATTTCAGCTCTAGAACTTAAGAAGAATTTAAATATATTATTATAAGGCGATGTATGTATAAACGGAGTGTCAGAGATTTGAAAAAAAGAAAAAAAAAAGCTATCAGGAAGAAGAAGATTGGAGGATATTTATGGTCTCTCCCATGTTGTATAAGGCAAATGAAAAACAAAAGAATTAGTGTTAAAAAAAATGAGAGACAGTTATAAGAAGAGTAGGACCAATCAAAATTTATGTCAGAAGTAGGGCTGGGCGATATGGGAAAAAGATTATCACAGTACAATTTTTTCAAATCAGTCGATATTGATATATATCACGATATAGAAAATGAAATTTAACAGTGCTTATTGGTAGCATGTCTTTTGCAATACAATGAGCGACTGCATCTGTGAGGTCTTTGTGTCTCTTTGACGTTTTGTCGTAAGGTGTTGCACTAAAGAAAGTGGTCTGTACGGTCGTCTGTTTCAGCTGCCTGGGCGCCATGGGATCCTTGCTCCGCTCAGGGTTTGTAACCCTTTTGCATTGTGCATGCTCTGCCGTGTGGCGCTGCTTCAGGTGGTGAAAAGATTTGAGGTATTCCCCGACTTTGCAAGAACATGTACGCGACATAATTTGCAGTACACATTACTCTGCTTCATGTCCGACCTCAAAATACTAAAATACCTCCACACAACCGATGTTTTCATGCCAGTGTTGTTGAAGATTTCATCATCTGTTGAGCCTTCATCTGCATTTCTCATTTTCTTTTTTTCTCACCTACAGTGCTGTTGGCTTCACATCTTAAAGTGCTATGGTTGCGTGTAGCTGCAGCCTGCTACTACAGACTGTTTGTTACTTGGTTCTAATTCAGCCCATGATTGGTTCAGCGCAAAGCGAACCCGGAGTAACTCCCCTTTTCATTGGCTATTCATATAGTCTACCAAAACATGGCAGAATGCCAATTATTGAAAAGCTTATTGACCATGTTTTATATTGATATTAAAGGGAAATTAATTTTTGATATCTATTGTTATCGTTTTATCGCCCAGCCCTAGTCCAAAGTATTTTGAGAATGAGGATACATTGTTTAGCTAAATCTAACTCAAAACTAGGAGGACAATGTCAAAAAATAGGCCAAAATGAGATGGGGACAGAGTTTCAGTGTAATAATGATAATATTTACTAAGCACTTTTCAAACACAAGCTACAAAGAACTTCAAAATCAAAAATAATTTACTCAAATAAGAATCAAAACAAGTTGGATAATAGTTACAGATATGACAAAAAGACAAAATACCAATAAAGAAAGACACATAGCAATAACAAAAGTAACAAGTTACAACAGATAACAAAAAACTGAGATCCAGTACTTAAGGTGAAAGGTGATGAACAAATCTGCAAGTCAAGACAGCCAAATAAATGGAAGTGAGTTCACAAAAAGATTTAAAAAAGGACACAGACTTTGTCTCTCTGGTATCCTCAGGCAGGGAGCTCTAGCCGTTGAGCCCAAACTGCAAATGTTCGGTCTTCTTCTGTGACCAGCTGAGATTTTGAAGCTATGAGTAGGGGGCTGCCAGAGGACCTCAGACTCTTGCCAGGTTCGTGGAGCGTTAGTAGCTCACAGATAGCCTGGCCATGTTAGGCCTTAAAAAGCAGTAAGACCTGAAATCAAGTCTAAAACTCACTGATGGACAGTGAAAGGCAGCGAGTATTGGTGCTGTATGATCACTCAGTTAAAGCCTGGCAGCAGTCTTTGGATATTGGGCTTGCTGATGCCGGAATACAATGCATAACAATCTGTCAGGACTAAACTAAATGCTTGGATGACATAAGATAATTTGGCAGAAGAAAGAGAATACACAATTTTAGTTAACTGCCTTAGCTGAGCAAAACAGCGTAACTTTGGTTACCTGATATCACAAAGAAAGGTCGGAGTTAAACAGGACTGCAAAGCTATGGGCCTCTTTTCCAACATGATTGTTGTTAAAACTGGGGACAGAGTGGATAATGACAAGAGCTTTAGATCTGGAGTAATCCAGCTGTAGGAAATTTTCAAACATCCACTTCTAGTTTATAGCCGGACTGGACATAATAGGAAAATATCAGTAGTACTGAGCTTTAACAGAGCTCTGAGTGTGATTTGAGTAATAGTCTTTGCTGTGCATTCTCAGGTTTTGCCCCAGGGGGAAGCATGTACTCCTGAAATAAAATAAAATAAAATAAACCCCCACATGAGAGAGGATCACAGAAAGAGAGGGCATTTTAGAGCACGATAGTAGAAGACCTGTTAGTGATGTGGGGCTGGACTGGTTCTTTTCCTATCTGCCTAACTCCAACTGAGTATTTCAGAGGCCTAAGGAAGACACTGTGTTAAACTGTGTCTAAGGCAAGCAGGCAAAGAAATGCTAGCACTCCCCTTTTTCACAAGTTAACCTGTGTATCTTGTGTTTACTTTTGGTGTTGTGGTTAAAGTTTCTACAGTTATAAAAAATAAGAATGTTGATAGTCGTAAAATATGCAAATTATGCTCCTATCCAATCATTATCCTTGTTTAGGTCATGTTTATTTGATATTGCCATGGGTAATATATTTCTGGTACTTTTAGGGCTCTATGAAAGAAGCTGTAATATACCAGAAACCTCAAGTATGATGTACAAGATGAATTTCCTTTTGGGAATAAATAAAGTTCTTGTGTCTGGAATCTCATGTCATCTGCTATTTATAGAAGAATTAAAAAGTCCTCCATAAATGGAAAGAGAGAGAGAGTCGCAAAGTATAAATATGTTGGCATATGCCTCAATGAAAACTTTACATTCAAGTTCCATATGAATACTCTTGTGTTCAAGTTGCAACAGACAGCTGGCTTCCTGTATCCAAATAAATCCAATTTTCCTTTTTCCTATAAGAGAAGAATTGTTGAAGTTGTGTTTTTGTCTGTTATTGACTACGGTGATATAATTTACAGGCATGCAGGAGCCTCAGCTTTAAAACCTCTAGACTCTATCACTCCACCTTAGGTTTATAACCAGTGACAGATAGGATGCCCGTCATTGTGTCCTGTATCAGATGGCTGCTTGGTTTTCTCTTGGAGAGGATGTAATAAACATTGTTTTTTGTTTATTTTCAAGGACCTCGGTTTGAATTGAATTGAATTGAATATTCAGAGAACAGGAGAGAGACAAGCACCTTGCAAGATGCCTGGTGCGCCCAATAAATTCTGTGGTTAAATTGAAAAATACTGGTGCTGGGACCCTATATGAAGTTAGGTGCTGTTCTGAGCATTATTTGTGGCTATAGAGTGGTGTTTTGGTTGAGTGTGTAGCTCCTGAGACCGCTGTGCATTGATATTGTGTGGTCATTACTAGAGTTGGTATAACTAGAGAAGCAAGTGGTCTGCAACATTCATCTCTCGAGGGGTGTCTACCTCGGTGTTACAGTGTGTTTGACCCTAAATTAATTTTACACCGGAATATCCCTTTAAACTGATGCATCTGCTTGCATGTTGTGAAAATAAACACACAGCTGCCAAAAAAACAATCCTGTCTAAAAGAAAAAAAAAAAATCAATCCAGTTCTCATCTAAGTAATCTCAGGTTGCACATGAGAGCAAAACAGAGGTTTCACATTACCTTGATAGTTCTTAGATAAAGGAAAAAGCCTCCTTCTCTTTAGGGAATCTGAATCTTTTCGATATGCAGCCGTCAAATACAATAATAATGAAGACACATATTGACAACAGGAAAGTCTGCGAGCAGTTTCTGGTGACTCACGCAAACGTCATTAGCAGATGACATTTGTACATCTGAAATGGGAATGAAGCTTTGATTTTCTGACTGGTTAAAGAAACTCTAAAAGCAACCTGGCTTGTGAAATGTCTCACAGACGCCAAGGTAATAAAACTCACAATTCCAGACTTTAGTTGTCTCTTGCTCCAGTTTAGTCATGCCACCATCACCCATGACCCTTCGCCTCCCCAGCTATGCCCTGTCCTACAGCTTAAAGACCTACTCCGATGAAAATCATGTTTTCTTGTTTATTACATGTTCATACAGCATTTTTCTGATGCTTCAGGGCATATAATGAGAAAACTAAATGCAAAATTGCTTTTCTGAGTATTTCTTTATTCAAATCACTGTGAATCTCTGGCAGACGCAAAAACAGGTTCAGAAAAAGTGAGATTTCATATGTAACCAGTCCAAGCTCCGCCCACGACTCTAAGGCAGTAAAAACTTAATAACAATTTAAAGACCTCTGAGAACACTTCAAGTAGTTAAAAAAACAAACAAACAAACAAACAAACAAAAGATTGGAGTGATACTTTAAACAGTCTCATCAGCTTTGATGACGTCCTTCTATTACTGCCCAGTCTTCATCTTCATCATCTCATCATCCTCAGATGACAGCAGCCAACACTTAACCCATCAGTATATGAAATCAATAGAGGGATAAACTTGCTGCTGCAAATGATGATGATGATGATGATGATGATGATGAGTTCAAGCACCTTAGAGACTTTGACAGTAATTCTATATCACATTGTCTCTGTGTAATTATAAGACTTATCTTTCATTCATAACGTGCCTCCTGATTGAAGTAATTATAGACTTGATATATTAGCTGCAGTAATATCGCTACGAGGCAATTTATTTACTCACCATCAAGGACAATTTCAGGATCAGACTTTGGCATGCTGGGTCCCGGCTGAGATTTCTTCAAGAGTTAAGTCCTACCTCCAAGCCACTAATTTATACAGGACTGAGCCATGTCTAGTGTTGGCTAGTGGGCAAGAGGACTAAACCACTTAAATAAGAGCAGGTTAAACTTGTAATACCAGCATTTAAAGTTTTCACATTTAATGACATGAAGCTCCACAGAACAAT